AAACGTATCTTGGGCTCCCACTGTCATCCACAGCCTTCTGCAAACCAGATGCTCACAGTTTAAGTTCTGATACTATTTCCCTCCTTCACCTTCGAATTATACGATTTACAGTCCTTTGGTCACTGAAGTTCACCGGTGTGTTTCTTCCATGTGGACTTAGTTGACCTTTCAGTTAGATAGATGGCTGCTTGTTTGGAAACAAGTCTTCAAGACTCCCGATGTTATTTTATCTAACAGCTGGCCACCATTCTCATTTCTTCACCCATATCGTCTGTGGGAAATCCTTCCTTAGGGCAAGTATGGAGCAGGCCTATGATGTAAGAACTAATTGTTCTTCAATAGGAGCTAGGGTTTTGTGCAAACCCAAAGCCTGTGCCCATTCCTGGATCTACGTTTATTTATCTCCCTTTGGCTCCCTTTCGAAACCTCCTTGTAAATTTATGGAAGAGTATCTTATCAATCATCCCCCCGGGAAATAAAGAGCTTCTGTTAATAATGTCTTTGATTAGCCTCTGGTACTAATTTTTTTAAACTGTTTTGAGAGAGGGATATTGGGCCAATGTAGGTTAACTCCATACCGGAATTCTTCATTGATAGAGATCAGTCTTTTCGTGGCCAGACAACGGGAGTTGGTTGTCAGGGAAATTTTCCAATAATATTCACTGTGATTGTCAGTCACAGGTTTACCAGGATAGTATGTATGTATGTATCTTAAACTCACCACCATCAAATTGATTCTAAGTCATTGTGATCCTTTTGGACAGAGAGGAACTGCCCTTGTGTGTTTCAAGACTAGCTATTTGTGGGAGTCGAAAGACTGGTATTTCTCCACGAGCCAGCAAGTGGTTCCCAGCGACTGGCTTTGGGGTTAGCAGCCCAACCAGTAGCCCACTTTGCCATCAGCATCGTTTCTTTAACATTTGTTAATACATAAAATGGAGGATTTTCCCCCTTTTATATGGTTAAAATCATGTGCAGATATTTAATGCAAAATATACTTGAGGAATTCTTAAAGTGTTTGAAGAGAAGTCCTTATCTGTTGGAGCTGTTTCTGCTGTCGCTATTCTTGATTATGAAAAATAAAGACAGATGGGAAAGAGGGAGATAAATAGGTAGACAGAGCTTGTAAGATAGAGTCTTGCTTTTAGAAAACTACAAAAAATATCAGAATAACTTCATATAATAGCTTCTAAAGGAGTCAAATAAGTAATTGAAATCTAATACAGATAATAATTACATTTTTAATGAGAACATTGCTGGCAACCTCTTAGATTATGAGCAGGAGTTAACTTGATAAAGTCTTTCCTGAGGACAAAATGTCACTAATCATTTGGTGAAATGTTCCAAATGGACAGTGAACTGTATATCAGAGCATTCACTGTAGGAGTTCTCCATAATGGGGAAAAAATTGCAAAATACAAAATTATTCAGTAGGTTAAATACACTGTAATATACTCATACGTTGTTATTCTCTGAAATTATTTAAAGGCTGAGATACTCGATATACATGGGAAGTTATGAGTTGTACGCATATTGGTTTCATTGTTGGAAATCCCCTTTAACATGTCCATTGTAAACATTTTATTTGTATAAGGTATATATTTATAAGTAATTGCCCTTGTATGAAGATAAGGATGTATTTCAAAAAAGTAAAATAAAAACAGTCAAACCAGTAACAATGTT